CCGGCCAGGCTTATCAACATTCCATTCTACGGATTTCTTTCCCTCGGTTCTCATTGCGTTTCAACTTTCACTGCTGCTGTGCTTTCAGATTAGCACCATGGGTTTATTCGGGTGAAAGCTGCATGTCGAAAGGTATATCTCTACAATATCTCTACCTGGACTTATTTTTGGACTTTTGCACAAATGTTCTGTTTCATTGCTTGTGATTCAACATTCGACAGAGGGCCGTGACTTAGAAACCTCATGAGTACGCTTTGTTGGTTCCTTGCCCCTTTTCTCTTTGATTTTCCTCGCCGCCCATTGCCCACCATACCACCCTACAACAATCAACAAGAAGCCGCCGACGATCGCTGCACCAATATACCCAGATTGTGCGTTCGCCTTGAAGACGATCATGCAACGAGTCAGTAGACGCTCTGAAATATGTGGAGGGAATGGAAACAAACATTTGCCCAACCTCTCCACCATCTTCCAGCGATGCCTCCTCCGTGCCCGCCGTCTGCTTCAGCAGCTGCTACGCACGAGGTGCATTGTTCTCCGATGAGACCCATGATCGTTATCAACGAGATGCTACACACAAGAGAATTCAGAAATTAATGGGTGCGAATTTTCTTTCAAGGACAACTAGAATGGAAGGCGCACCTAAACGCTACCAAGATGCTCATCAGAGTGAGAATTATGCTCAACCCAGACATGACGTTCATTTTTACGCGGGTATCTCTCGCCACTACACTGTCCCTGTCCCTGTCGGCATCGACAATCGTTGTAGTGTTCGGTGAAAGAGGTGTGTCTGGTCTGGCCTTTAAGTCAGTCGATTCCTGAATTTTGTGGTCGATGTCGTGCAGGTTTTTCGAATCAAGGTCTTTCCTATGCTCGACGCTGATGGAGCCAACCTTACTGTCTATTTCATGTTTCTGAGTTTCCAGTCTGACATCCGAATGTGGGCATTGAGGATCCTGATCGGCGGCTGCTCTATCGTCGATGTCAGATAGAAGCGAAGGTAAATGTGCGCCACGCTCCATATCCGTGAATCCCGGCTTTTTGAAAAGGAAGAACGTCCGTTCCGGAAATCCGGAATATGAGTAAAGCATCAAGATAGAATCTGCCGAATCAACAAGGGTCATGCCTGAGGTGAAGAGAAGCTTGTGGTGTATATCAGGCTTCGACAGATCTAGCATGATGATAGCAGAGGAGCGGTACCGGAAGAATGACAATCTGCGCATTTGGTATGGATGACCCGTTTGGTCCTTTCTTTGCGATGGCGGATATGGCGAGCAGGGCTATTGATGACGCCGTGTCAAATCCTAAACGAGGGGAATCCGTCATTGGCACCTTAATCAATAGGTTGTGCGATGAAACCATACCAAACCCAAATAGCACTCCGACGGGATACATCTATGATCACCAATGTCGCTCAGCATTATTACAGGGAAGAATTGAGGAGGGCCTGGACCTTCCAGGGACGGTTCACAAATGTGATTATTGGCCCTAATATGCGCATCATGAGCATGTGGCTTTCCTTCGGATCGTGGGTGACTTCTTCAGGGACAGTCTCGCCATTCGCGATTCGTTGATCTCGCAATTTATTCTATGTAGATTCAGATAAGTTGAATGATTGACCTTTGCGCGTGGTAAACGCACTTGACGACGCCGCCGGATGATTCTCAATAGGATGATGGTATTTGCGAGGCCTATCAGGAAGAGAAAAGATCCAGAGACAGCAGCGCCTATTTTTGTGCAAAGTCAGTTGATTCAATTGTGTGTTATAGAAAGTAATCATACCGACAATACCTCCTACCGTTCCTACGTTTCCGATTTTGTTGTATACATCAGCCGAGATGGCGATGGCCACAATCTTCAGAAAATATATTGGACGTTAGCATCTAGACGGTTTTTGAATGATTCTTACGACGACAATGACTATAGTGCTATGGCCGAGCGAGAAGAATAAACCGCAAGTGACAGGCAATTGCCCGAGGTTGATCAATCCTCTTGTCGCGTTGTCGATCGCACTTCCGTTGATCGCAGATTAGATCGAATATGAAGGTTCTAAAGGTATTCGAATTTATCGAATTTAGAAATTGGACCTATAAAGCGATCGTACGAGAAGGCGGACCTTTTGGGAGAACGGATAACCACCTGATATGATCGGCGTCCAAAGCTATCGGAAGGGCGTAAGCGATGTCCGCTAACGGCGTTGGGTGCATTGGTGAGCTCACCATGTCGCAGACCAAGGGTCTACCAGGGCACTTATCGAGTTGAGATCATGTCGATTTAGAATAAAGATCTTTGGACGCACCCAGGCTAAAAGAGCGAGACTGAGAACGGGTCGCGTGTCGCTGTTTTTGCCAAATAAGATACCGGCGACGGTCCAGCAGATGGCATTGGCTGCAACCCTTGAGAGGCGACCTCAAAATGGATATTGTTCCAAAAGAGGGACCGAGAACTCACTCGCATGAGAGAAGCAGCACAGATCGACCGAACAAAGTGAGCCTGGGTAATGTGAACACCATGCTTAATGTTCGAGCACGGAGGCTATGAGAGCAGATGGATTGTGCGATAAACAACCTCTACTGGCAGATAGTGGGTTCTTCTGAGGAGTGGGCTGAGGTAATCAGATTGGCCTGAGAATGAGGATCAGAACCTGGATGTCACCTTCGGTGCAAGCAAGTGGAAAGCTGATACCGTGGTGCGTTGGAAATGTAAAACCTTCAAAGAAGTCTTGGATACCTACTTTATGTACTACACAATGTCTCTCCAGATACGCATGTACCAGATTGTCGGAAGTGCGAGCACAAGTATCTTTGAAGTGCGTTTCTCAACCGTTAGGGGCCAACGGTTTACGGCCCGAAGGTGATCGGCATCCCCGATCGGGCAATGCCAAATATGGAAGGCACGGCACCGCTTACACATGTCCTAAGAGATGACGCTGTGCTTCCTTACTGCTGCGATCACCAACACTCCCTCATTTCTGACATAAACACAGGCCATTGAACGCGTACACGCGTTCGCGGTTCCACAGCGGTCATATATGGCGCCTTCTGTTTATCAAGAGTACGTCCTTGTCTTTCCAATCCTTATCGCCAATCATGTCACATTTCTCTCATTCCAGGTTGGTATTCGCGGTACACCATGCATTCAGGACGATAGTACCTGAAGGAAACGATAGAACACCTATCACATGGCGAACTGGCATCTATCCGGTGCTATGCTATACACCATTCATATTCCTGGCATATCTGGCTCGGAGACCTGACACGTATCCAATACGGCTGCTCATGCTCCCGAGCGTCATCACTGCGATATTGGTAGCAGCGTACCGATTTACATGGGTGATACCAGAATTGAACGTGTACAATTGGGGTCAATGTGAGTAACATTTCAGAAGTGCTACTCGCTATTCACTGATGTAATTTGCTATTATCAGGTCTGTTTGCTGCTGTAGCAATTGCTAAAGCACTAGAGTATGCCTTTACAAAAGAAGGCATGCTTAAGATCGGCGAAACACGTCCTGGGGTCATGAAAGGGAAGGAAAAGGGCCTTCAAAATGGTCATTCCGCGCCTAACGGTGCCTCATCTAATCCCCAAGAAATACAAAGGCACCCATACATAGCCACCTGGTTTTATGATGCCGTCGAGCTCGCCCATACCATGCGCGGGCTCAAATGGAAATTTGGCGAAGGGGCACATGTACCCAAGCACACACGCCCACTAGAGCGCAACGCCTTTCTCTATGCCACTCTCATATCTTTCATCGAGAACTATCTTCTGCTCGACCTCCTAGAATCTCTCGTAAAGCTCTTCCCGGGCGTCGGGACGCCAATGGGCGGTAGTATGTACTACCCCCAACTTTCCATTACCGCACGGTTTGCCGTGGGTACCATAATCCACATGCTCACGGGAGCAGCCTTGCTAGCAGGGTTTGGAATGGTGTACGATCTCGTCACCCTCTTCGCCGTCGGTTGCCTCGACAGTAGTCCACTGTCGTGGCCACCGATCATGGACGATCCATGGCACTCCTCGTCCATGCACACATTCTGGGCCAAAGATTGGCATCAGCTCCTGAGACAGACCTTCCTTGTCTTCGGAGGGTACCCTGGTAAGTGGATTGCGGGGACGTACGGCATGGTGTTCGGTGCATTCCTGGCATCAGGCCTGTTCCACGAATGCGCAATGTACGCGATGCGGCGCGGGTTTGATCATTCTGCTACTGTGTTCTTCGCTGCGCAGGGACCTGTGTTGGTGTTGGAGCGGTTGTGGAAGCGTGTCACGGGAAAGAGAGTGGGTGGTTGGCCGGGTCGGTTGTGGGTGTATTTTATTATGTTCGTCGCTGCGCAGCCGACAGGTACGTGTTGCATGTTTACTCTGACCTAATTTCTCGTGCTTACTGTTGACATTGCAGTGGATGCATGGCACCGACGCGGTTTAGGTGGTGGGATGGTTATCCCACCGTTCTTGAGCCCAGCCAGATTGATTTTGTTGCCCTTGGCAAAACGACTGCTACACTACGTCTAACAAGCTCTGACCATCTGCTGTAATCTATAGAGGCGGTATATTTTAGGTAAGTACCAAATCTGAAGCATAATGTAGCAAACAAGTAACGATTCTCAGGTACACGCTAAAATCTAGTTATGTCGAATACAATATCAAACATATAATGCCGATGCTTTCATCTACATGCAACTCGCACTCTAAACCAACCTCCGATTGCTGTCATCTCAAAGCTGAAGCCGATGCAAGGCATACAATTGCATGCGCTTGCGGCTTGTTCAACGCATTTCCTCAACCACTTACCACAGGGCAGAAAACCTTGAGAGTTCTAGGATATCGAGGACTTCGTATTTGTACGAATCAACTATTCGACTTGAGTAGTGTTGAAATTGTACGAATATTCTGGTTCGAGTATGATTGAGACTGCATACAACGTCCCTAAACCATGTGTGCGGGGAGAGTCGGCCTATCGGAACGATAATCAGGGCAACAAGTGTGCAATCACTCAGGGGCTCTTAGCACAGTGGTTAGCGCGCATGCTTTGCACAGTTGTGTGATTTGCATGAGGTCGTGGGTTCAACTCCCACAGAGTCCACTCTTTTTGCTTATCTGCACCATCAGTAGGTCAAATTCAGATCAATTGTTAGAAACAAGGATGTATACATATATAGACATAGCTTGTCTTCCAGGTAAAGCAATATTCCTTAGTTGTCACAATATTGTGACAATATGCGTATGAGTAGGGTCCGTGCGTTGATTGCACAGCGTGGGACTGGAGTAGCATGCCAAAATCACAAAACAAAATCCGAGTGCAGGCAGTGATTTTGTTTCCTCATACCACCACCCTCGTTTTCCTCTCCTGCTTATCTTTTCGTAGCTGATTTCCGTGTTATCCTTCAACCAGTGCACAGGGCTTTTGTAAGAAAGGACTTTTGCCACTCTTGGGCATTATGGAAGTCTCATCCAGTACATCCACACTGGTGGCGGCTGCATCAGCAGACCCAGTCTCGTCTTTGCGTGCTGCAGCTCTATCTACGCTTAAATCGAAACGGAGTCGGAAGCCTGTTGTCGAAAAATCTGCGCCTGCTCCTATATCTCGTCCTCCGCCTCCCAGCGAATTTCAATTGGATTATGGACAAGAAGATACACCTATGAATATTGACCCACCATCACCAAAGGAAACTGCAGAGGTCGAAGTCCATGTTCAGGAGGCCCAAATGCGTGAGGAAGGCGAGATTAGCGATGAAGAAGATGCTGTGCCGACTGTACTCGTGAAAGATCCGACACCTCCGCCACGGCGGCCTGCTAGATCCCCAAGGCCTCCTAGATCCGTAACACCAGAGTCGATAAAGACAGCTTATGTCAATCCTCCATCGCCGCCAAAGTCTTTCACAGGAAAGCAGCAGGCACCACCGTCACTCTTGGATCGATTTTCGGATGTCATGGATTACCAACCGTCTGAAAAGATTCTGGAACCTCCAGAAGTGGCTATGCAAACAGATAATGTACTAGAACTAGAGCGATCCTGGCAATCATTGGGTCCAGATAGAGTTCGGCCTGGGGTGCTTCGTGAGTCTCGAATACATTGTGTTATCGCCCTACTCACATACATACAGTGACTATGGATGAATATGAAACTGTCAAAGACATTGTATTAGACCTACTTGGATGGGGTGTCCCACCAGCGTTTCTTGTCGCTTGTGGAGTCACCAAAGAAGTGGTGTACTATGTATTCACCGAGCTCAATCTTGAACTGCCGGAAGGCTTCGACACGACTGGCATGATTCCTTACACCCCAGAATTGTTCGCTCAGCTTCAAGAATCTGCTTTGATGCCGCCGCCACCGTTGCCCGATAACAGACGAGTTGTTGAGGATCATGTTGAAGAGACGCCCTCACCGACTTTGCAGATCGAGGCGGCCACATCTTCGGATAGCCCCTCCAATACCGATCTGCACGATATGGAACGACAAAGACGGCAAGAGCTCATGGCACGCAAGGCAGTTCAGGCGTCTCGGAAGATGAAACAAGTTAATTCTACCGACTCTAATTCAACCGCCCTCACCAACGAATCGTCTGGCGCCGACCAAGATGACGTATCAGCGACATCAACGATACCGTCAGAGACTGTTGATGACTTCCTCAAGAGCATTGGCCCTGTCGTGGAAATGGATCCCCCCAGTGCAGCCCAAACTCCTGTTGGGTGGCCTCGGACTAACGGTGACGCGATGGACCTCGACGAGGTCACTGCACCATTAGACGACAGTCAATACGTCTCTATTCCAAGAATGCGGTCTGATACCTTGTCCCCGTACTCCGCGAATGCTTATGAACCTGCATCACCGTCGTCCCGAGCCGACACTCCTAATGAACCGCCGCCAATGTCTGGCGATGAACCCCCTCCGACTTCATCTGATTCGATGACGACGACTTATTCTCAACTTTCGCAAACAATCACTCCTGTTGCTTCTAGTTCTCAACTTCTCCCCCCGAAAGTAAACACGGTTCAACGTCGGGGTGTTAAGCGACCTGTTGCTTCAGATTTCGTCGATTACGACCCGGCGCCGCGCCGCAACGAGATGAATGGCCGGGTGGAACAATCAAATAACCCTGCTTTTTCGAATGCGTTAACACGCCGTTTGAATCTGACCACCAACTTCCAGAATATCCCGTCGCCCAAATGTGTCATTCAATTGAGTGATAGTGAAGGTGAAGACGAGGAGGAACAAGAGCAGCCCCAAATACAACAAACGATGGAAGATCGTTCATGGCTGCAGCGCGACCGCCGGAGCAAGGCAGCCAAATACCCTTCACCTGTCCCTCGTCCTTCTGCCTCTGCCGCAGAGATCATGTCACCAACTGTTCTGGAAGACAGGATTCGTAAAATGCACGAGGAGATTGCTAGAAAGGAGGAAGCGACTCGTTTGAGGAAGCTTGCTGTAGGTCCTCAGTTTACGTCATTGTTTACCCGTGACTTATGCATTCATATGTAGCAGATGGCAAAGCCTATCCCTGCCAGTGGTTCGTCTACACCATCCGTTCTACCGAAGCAGGAAGATTCGGATGTCGTCATGAGCTCTTCTGGGACAGAGATGCTTGAGCGAAATGGGCACGCCGGTCGTTCCAGTAACGGTGCCTATCGCAAATCCGAATCCGCAACGCCACCTCGTGAGTATCATCCTTTCTTGGTAACCAAAATACACTCAACGATGTGATGTTCATCAGCCGCGTCCCCAAGCAGGAGCGTCAGTAAAGATCCTCTTGGTAAATTGATTTGGCTCTTGCCATTTCTGTACCTGATCTGCTGCCACAGACGATGATGCTCTTCATGATGATCATTCCAGTCAAGCCACCATAACGATTACGCCACACCGAGGCAAGTCACCTTTCCTCTCTCGCTCATCTATTTGCGATGCATTCCCTCCTCCCACTAACCTTCATCTTCATTGTGACCTCTCACCTTACTTTTCCTTCCCACGATCTTGTATTGTTCCTCGACGTGCTAAAAACGCATCATCGACCCCGTGCCGCGACTTGCTATTGTCTTCTGCCATCCCTTCACACGAAATTGTGACACTTTGGTGTTCTATCTCTCGTCCCTGTTCATGTGCGCGTCCCTGCTATTCTTTGTCGTTGCTTCTGAACTTCTCATTTCACACCTTGTGGGTTCCATCGGTAATCAATCGTCGATGAACTCTCTTTCTTTTTTTCCGTTTCTGATTTCTTTGACGTCTTCTGTTCTTCTCATGCCATAATCCGTCGACCCCGGATTTCCTCCTTATCCAGATTCAGCCTCCGAGGCACAGGAAGCACAAGTGGCAAGATTCTTTCTCCTCCCTTGCCGTGGGCAAAACATCACCAGACATTCCTGACATTTCCTTTTTTGTTTTCTTTGCCTTCCCCTGTTGCTTTGGACGATTTGTTCGATCTGCGCCCGACTTGTTTTGGGTTGAATATCTTTTCTCTCTCTTTATTTTTGATAACACTCCACAGGATATCATACCGGGTCTACAGCAATCGCAGCAACAGATCATGGAAGAGGAACGACGCTCAGAAGCAACACGGGAAGGAACAGTCGATGTCGACTCGGAATTGTCGTCGTCGGCACAGGTGCGTCTTGCGAGTTCGTTTTATTTCATTTTCATCGTTACGGGCGGGGAATTGGATCGCAACTGCCTCCTTGCCTCTGCCTGGTATTCATCAGCTAACATTCCTTTTTTTTGCTCTGTAGCCGGAATGGAAGGCGGTATCAGCCACCCAAAAGCAAGACGAAAGAAAGCAGCCGGCATGGGAAACACCCCCTTCACCAAGCGGCAACAATGATCACCATCAAGATGATGAAAACTATGCTATCTATAGTTCCCCATTTGAGTCGTACCCACTGCTACGCGGTCGCTCGCGTCCGACGTTCTCGTCAGACCAAGTTTCTCATTCTCATTCTTTGTCTCTGCATTCTTCGTCATACATGTACCCTTCGACCAGTTCCATGTCTTCTTCGTCTCCTGTGTCTGCTGAAACTTCCTCTTATTCTATATCTAGTCCAAGCTACCCTTTCCCGAACTTGAAGCCGCTCAAGTTGGCCACAATGAGCAAGGTGCTTGACCCCTTCAAGCGGCTCTGTCGGTACGAAGTCCCGGGGGGTGGGATGTGTCGTGACGAGGGGTGTGAAGACGTGCACTTGAACAGGCTTGATGGCGTGAATGAGATGGGAGTGGTGGAGCCGAGCGGTACGTGATGGGTTGATTGTGTCGTCGGGGGTAACTCACGCGACAGGGAAATTATTTTTGCTCTATTACTCTTCTTCATTTTTTGCATACATCTGGGATCGCTTCTTTCTATCTCTCTCTCCTCTGGTCTATCTCGCATCTATTTCGTTGTTTGTGTTTCTGTTCTTTTCTCCTTCTTCTTTCGCAGATCGAGACACGGCCGAGTATCTGTTCAACACCATGCCCAGCTCCTGGCTTGAGCGGTATCAGGTCTCCTCATCATCCAAGATATTTGAAGCCCTTCAGCAAATCCGGTACAACACAGTGAACGACCCTCTAGGCTTTGAAGACCGAGTCGCGCAGGCCCTCTTTGCGCTTGGCGATTCCCGACCGACTTGATCCAGGCTCCACCGGGCGAAGGGGAATGCGTACTTTGAGACTTGCTCAACGGATCGACGGCCGACGCCATATTCAACAGGCAGGCACAGGCCAATCTACTCTTTGGGGCCGAACCTGGGTTCTTGCGATCCGCGCAATCTTGGCCGTTCTTCCTCGTGCGGCTCCAATCGGGGCTCCTCGAATGGTGAAGACGGCGATTGAGGAGAACAATAACCTGCTCTTGCCAATTACCCTTCATAGGGTGGGAAGAAGGACTACTGGACGACAAGGACGACGCTTCATATAAAAACAAGGGAGAAAAACGGAACGAGCTTATGTCGATTGTCAAGATTAATAAAAATAACAGGACACAGGATCGAGACTTAAAGAACGCAGAGGCGTCAGTTCTGCTGGTTTGTGCTGGGGTTCGGTGCCTGGGAGGGTGGTTCTTCGGGGGGTGACATGGGATGAGGGTGTTTGGGGGAAGCGCGACGTGCTCAAGCAGATACATC